AGAATAAAAAGTACTTTAATTTATATAAATTATCAAAAAAAAATTTTTATTAAATTGACTAAGTTACAATGATGATCACCCAAAATTGGGTTTGTCTATTATGCTACTTTTTATTCTCTTTTTTTTTAGAACAAGTTAATTTGATAGGTTTCAAGAAACTGCAAGAATAAAAAATACTTTAACCTATATAAAAAATCAAAAAAATTTTTTTACTAAATTGGCTAAAACACAATGATAATTATTCAAAATTAAGTTTGTCTACTATGCTGCCTTACTGTCAAGTAATAGGCATTGCTATAGCTAAAATAACAGTATAAAAAAAGATAATATTAAACTTAAATAATTCTTTAAAAAAAATAGTAATAGAATTAATTAATCTTAAAATAAAATAGTTAGAGATATACATGTACTAATTAGATAATTCAGAGAGTTTAAATAAAACATCTACAATTAGAGGTCAAGTATAAATAATCTTAAAACAGAACCCTTAAATAGATAATAATTGAAGTTGTATATATGACTAACTGTACTTTCACAAACTATGCATGTATTTAAAATATTAGTAATTATTAAAATTGTTAGTTTGGTTAAATAATTGATTGCTCATTAACAAAAAAAAGATTTTTTTTTTCTTTTAAAACAACAATCTTGCCTATATTTTTTTTTGATATTAAGGTAACCTTTTTGGTTCTAGCTTTTTATTAATACTTATATCAGGTATATGTTTTATATAAATATATTTATATTAAACTATCAGATAAGTATACAACTAGCTATATATGTAACTTTTCTATATTACCTATTTAAAGAGTTTGCTTAGATGTTCTCTATTAGTTGTTATATCTAATATTTCTACTTAGATAATTCATTTAAATTCTCTGATCTGAGCCTAGTATTAATTTTATCAAATCACAGATCCAGATCTATTTACTTTTAACTATAAAACTATAATCCTTAGACTATTTTTATCCTTAAGGTAAATCTACTAAAGCAAATAAGCTGTATTTTTTTTTATCACTAATCTGGTTTAATACTATGGCCAAGACTAATACTTGCAGTTAGAATTATCTATTAAACTACTATTACCTTTATAAAGTTTATTCAAACCTTAACATCTATCTTTTCAATTTCTTATTTATCATCTTTTACTAGCTGCAACTCAGAACTAACTGGCTTCTTAGACTTCTAATCCAAATGGTCCAGTATATATCTTTTTTTCTGGTAATTCTAGCAGCCTGATTGATCATATACTCCTCTACATATTTTGTTATTTGGTTTATTTAACAGTTTTTATGAAGATGTTTCATGAGCTTTTATCAGTCTAATGATACTATTAAAAGTTTGTGCTACCACTTTAGTTAGAATTTCTAAGTAAATTTCTGTCTTCTCAATTTTTTAGTCTTCTATGCTTAGTGGTCTTATCATAAGTTTACATCAAAGTCTTATGCAATACTGGTTTTTTTTACATTTCTCTATATATATGTAATGTTATACTTTATATAGATGCTCTGAGCTTTCAATATCAGGTGAAATCTGACTTGATGTATCTAAGATTACAGATATCCAAAACCCAACTGATTAGCAAGAGACAGTTATTATAACACAAATATAATTTTTAAAATTTGTCATCTATAGAAATTGAATCTTAGACCTGTCATTTGAGAGTTGACAACCTATTTATTTTACTAGATTACTACACCCTTAACCTTTTCTATATGTCTTTATTAATAATATATAATTATATTGATATATACAAAGTCTATCAACAAAAATATAACTAATCATATATATAACTTTAATTATTATCTAATTAAGAGTTCTGTGTATAGATTATCTACTAGATATCATATCTGAGACCTTTTTATAAATTCTTTATTTAAACTTATTGATTTTTAATATTTGTTATATATATATGCAATATTTACATTATTATTATAATAACATATTAGAACTATCTAATTTTATTTATATTAAAGTAATACTTCATTGAATATTACTAAGTATCTATAGCCTTTGAATTTATTTTCAATGCAAACTTACTAAACATAATATCAAAATTATCTCTTAAATCTAATTTAATGTATTTTGTATCTGCTAAATTAGTTTTAATATCAGAAATATTTAAATTTTAATAAGTTCATTCCTTTTCTATAACTTCTGTTTATATTACTATATCACTTGCTAGTGCACCTTCTTTTCATTTCTGATATGTTTATCACTTCTCTCATATCAATCACTAATTCTCCATATTAAGAAATTTCTTTTTAAAAACATTCTTATACACTAATCTTCTATTTACATGAACTTAAGCACAAGACTTTACATATATTCATATGCTTCTATAAATTACAAAGTTTTGTCTTTAGATAGAATTAAACAGTTGATCTTGTCTGTGAAAAAAGGGATGCCTAGACCACTAAGCTACAGAACCCTATCTCTGAAAAAAAAAAAAGATTTTATTAATATCTTCACTTCTTATAAAATATTTTTTGTTCATATTTATACATATAGGAAATTATTTAATTCTTCCTGATGATCACTTAAACCAAACAAGCACAAAAACAGTTTGAAGAATTATGTTTTTAAAATAATGATATCTTTGATTCTGTTTAGATATATAAAGCAGATTGTTGCTAATGAACTAGAAATATATGAAAAAACTAAGATGCAAATGATTTTTCTGATGGTTTGTGTTGAGATCAAGTCTTTTCTGTTAGTAGACTCTTTAACATATTTGGTACTCAAATCAGAAGAATATTCTGGAAACAATAGAAAAAAACTCTGATTAAAGATTATCAAAAACTTAAAAACAAATGAACAACTGGAAACATTCTCTTTAGTTTGACTTTTCACATATTACATCTGTTGACCTTCTCTATCTATTTCATTTTTCTTAATTAAAAATAAGAATATTGACTTCTTTTCTACAAAAAATTGGCATTGTTTATTATTTCCTTTTTTAGACAATTACATGTTGTGACATGATATAATAGAAACATAATAATCACATATACAGCCTAACATATGATGTAATGAAGAAATAAAGAAGGATTTAAGTTGAAAGATTATAGCAAATTAGAGATATATAGTAATTTCTAAAATTATATATATATAATTTTTATTCCTTAAGTACAGATTAAAGTGTAGTTAGATTCTTAGTATAGATTTAAAATGCTAGTGTTCTAAATGATTATAAATAAGATATACTCTTCGACACTTTTTTTTTTTTTTTTTCCTTTCTATATCCCTTTTTGTTTAGTTTAATTTAATGTTTTTTCTTTTTTTACTTCATTATGAGAAAGTGTTATCAGATTGGTAATACTCTGTTGTAGAACAGTGATCAGATGAATCCCCTAGATCACCTTTTTTCTTTAGAAATTAGGCAACTAATATAACAGATCACTTGTAAGTACTTATAGAAGTAACTGTAAGATGTTAACTTAGCACATTAAGTCTAAAAATGTTTGTTAGTATATAAACAGGAATCTTAATAAAGAGGATTAGCAAGACTGCAAAAGTGAAAAAAATAAAAAAATAAAAATTTTTTTGTTATATTAAACACAGAGTTATTTAAAATAATTTAAAAAATTAAAACTATTATAACTATATAGATAAAACTATAATCAAAAATGTTAATCATAATCATAACATATTGCATAAAACTAGATTAGCTGTGAGTAAAACATGTAAAAAGCTCTAATAAGTTTTTCATTAAAAATAAAGTAATTCTAAAAGAAGTAATAATCTTAACTAAATAATTGTTTCAAAAATATGTCTTTAAACAAATCAGAAATGCATTGCAAAGGGTTTAACTGGAAAGAGCCCGTAGTTGTCCTGTGGCTAGCATGTACTCGACAATGTATTAAAAAAGCCCATAAAGACATCCGTTCGATAGTAGCTTGAATAAAAATCCCCAAGATGGGACTTTAGTATAAAAATAATTTCCAGAGGTTATCACATGACCAGTAAATCGATCCGGAAATTCTACGGACAGAACTTAGGGACAGAACTGGACATAACAAACTCACGTGGTATTATTAAAATTCCTCTTGCACTAACCAATAACTAACTATTCACGTGATTTGTTCTGTCCCTAAGTTCTGTCCGTAGAATTTTCGAAATCGATCTACGTCATGCGAAACTGTTTCAATCATCGAGCGATCGAACAAATCATTCAACAACAGACTATGCATGAATTTTTATGCAAGTCAAAGTAGAAAATACCAGCATGAAGAAAAGCCACCTAACATCTACTATATATAAAAGGGCCCTTCGATATCGTCTACTTGCCAGTAAACACGTTTCCTTTCTCACCTGCCTTTTCCCCTCCTATGCTTTAGTCTGCCATCTTATTTAGCATCCGACCAGCTTCGAGCGCGCAAACCGCTGACTGAAGCTACTTCTTGCTTTCCATACAGCTATGACGATATGTGGTTTGTTAATTTTTTGAGAGCATACTGCAATTAATCCCAATATAGCCTATATATTTAAAGCTCTAATTGAATTTATTTCTGCCAACCAGAATTCGCCCAATAACGTGGGAGATACCCGTTTTTCGATATCTGATGATAATTTACCTTGTTCTCAAATGATCACAAAAAGCGACGATCTAACGAGATCGTATGTTTTTTCTCGATTGATGACCTAATTAGTAATAAGCCAGCAGTAATAATGAGGTTTGGAATATGTGCCGAACTCATACAGGGGATCCCCAAAATTCCGGGTCGGAATACATCGGAATCATGATCGGCAGGACCGGAGGTAACTAATTTTGCCCAAGATCACTAAAAGTTTTACTAATGAAACCATAGCTCACTCATTAAGTAAAGCTGCCCAGCTGATAATTTTGGCCCAGAAATGGTTAACTTGTATTACTAAATGCTAACTAAATGCCGGGCTAAATCCGAAGTATTCCGACCCGGAATTTTGGGGATCCCCCTGTATGAGTTATATGAGCCGACCTTGATCACCTAAATATTTTAATTATTGCACTCCTAAACTTATATTTGATCCATTATCGAAAAATATCGAGTTTTATCATTATCGCTATTATCATCATCGATCTATTCGGGAAATGTTACATTAAAAGTATGCAATTGTGTAGTTTCACGTGAAGGTGGATAAGGTAAAGTACCAAAATATTAAACTGGACCTTCGAACCAATGTTAATTTTTCAAAGATTGCTGCATCTTTGATGAAATAGTTCGTTATTTGTATCCCAGCCTGGGCATTTGATATCTTTTGTAGAGCATGATCAATAAAATGCATATAATACTATTTATCAGTCGTGTTTGAAACGATGGTTTGAATTTTTTTTCTAATCGTTATACCAGTACTGGTAGCGTACCAGAGCTTGTATGTTCCATCAGATCATAATTAAATTTTTTTCGCTTAAAAACCAAAAATTAAAAGAAAAAAAAAGATTTATCGTGCAATATAAAAATTATATTAAATAATACGTAATATTATATTGCGTATAGATTAAGCTCGAATTTTACATCATTTTAAGCTCAAATTTAAGCTCGAATATTAACATTTACTACGTTCGAATTTTACATCATGTATATATTAAGCTCGAATTCGGGATAACGTTTGCAGGTACGTACTAATCGGCTCATGGCTCAGATATTGGCTCCATAGTCACGAGCTGAACCGTTTTAAAAGCCGACTTTTTGTTAGCCGAGCCGTCAAATGGCTGACTTAGACATTTTTACACATGGCTTAGCCGAACCGTTTTGCATCTTTAGTAGTTCCTGATGCACCGTTATTTTCTCCGCCGCCTGGCACCAATAAGGATCCATCATCTTCGCCATCATTCTCTCCACCACCTTCTGATTGTTCATGACTTTCAACTTCTCTTTCTGTTACAATTGGTCGTATCCTTAACCATTGCATTCTAGGACCGCTACGACTTTTTTCATTGACTTTGAATCCAAAGATCTTTGGCTCATAAATTTCTGTTGGTGTATTTTGAAGCAGATCTGGATACTGCTGAAAGAGAAGGTGAGGAAAGGTTGTACCAAAGAAAGCTCCTGAAATAAAATAAAATATCAATTATTGTTTATATTATAACTAATAATTGTCGCGGTTGATATTGAGAATCAATCTATTTTAATAAGAAATTTCAAAAGTTTTTGAGACGAAATTTTTTTTTTTAAAAAAAAAAATTAGGATTCATGGTTAGAATTATTAATAAAAGAGTTTATGTGGATTTTAGTAGGTTGAGTAGACTCTAAATCTCAGCGTCAGCCGCGACAACAATTTTAACGTACCATCAACGCTATGAAATCTTGAACTAGGCGGTGTGTATAGATCAAGACAATTTGGACAAAACAATTTTACGGTCTCTAAACCTGGCATATCACTCCGCCCGCAAGGAATCACGGGACATGATTGACAATAATATCTAGGACAAGTGCCAAAATGCTTAGACTCATATTTATCCACCTAAGAATGATTATTTGTAAATTAGAATTTGAAAATTTTAATAACAATAAAACTTAGATTTACTAGACTTGCCATTTGCTGTAATCCTTGGCGTGTAATAATATAACGCTGATGTATAAGACCATATAATAATTCTGCTGATGTTTCAACAATTGATACGTCTGGCACTTTTAAAGTTTCTTCCTCTATGAAAATTAAGGGGGGTAATTCATTTTATACATTATTATTCAATAGTTAAATATACATGCGCCCTACTTTCAAATCATAGTTCTTTTATCTATTCCATTTCATCCAGCCGTACCTGGCTGTGCTTACCGGATTCAACATCTAAGATCATTTCAAGTGCTTCCTTATAAAAAGGAACCATTGAATTCAAGCCAGTTAAATTAAAATCATCCTCAATGAAATCTTCAGCGACTTCGGCAAAGTATTCGTGACCAGGGAGACCACAGAACCACGAGATCCATGTAAGGGATTCTGTTCCGGTATCGTTAGATGTGTCGGATTCTTTTGTTTTGTAAGAAGAATAGATATGAATGAGTTTATGAATTCTCGGTTGAAAAATCCGTATGTCCGAAATCCTTTAGTAAGATTATTTTTGTAATTATGCGTCACTTCAAGACATGCGCCATTGTATGCTTATATATGTTTCTTAAATAGTAGATCGGCCAATTGTCAGCCTAAGAATTTTTGTTGTGAATTTATTTGAACGATTTTCTAGTCGCTAAGGTAAAGATTCAATTGAATTGTTTATCACACTGACATTAAATCTAACCACTATCTACTTTATTAAGTACACAGAACCCGACTAAGAAATTAATAAATGCGGTCATACATCAACACCCACTTATTAATTAAGCGTCAAAAATAGCTTGTTACTTTTAGCGATAACTTTCTCACACAAGATAACTAAGGAAATAAAATCTGCAACTTTTTTTTTTTAAAAAGAAAAAAACATGCTCACCGTAATACTCGCCCTGAAATTGCCCACCACTCTCTGGTATAAGTTCTTCTTCTTCCTCGTCTTCTTCTTCCTGTTGGATACTAGGATCGTTTGTGGAAGTACCAGCGTTTACTTGAACAGCGGAAGTCGAAGAGTTCCACATTTCGTTAAATTTTTCGTATGCTTAGTGGTTGGAACAGTGGTGTTGTACACTAGTATGCCAACACAGTGTGAAAAACTTGGTCACTTAAAATTCTTTAGAAACCACATGAAAGCAAGGTGCTTTGCAATTCTTGCGTTCTAAACCTTGATTCCTTATGCGATGACGAGCTTCGAACGAAATTAACACCAGTTATTGGTCCGTATTTGTAAAGCGTCGCACTTTATATATTAGTGCTAGCAGCCAAACAGCAGCTACTAGCTAAAACCTCAGTAACTTTCTAGCAATTATGGGTTTTTAAAATTAAAAGTCAGCAGATATTCCCGTGATTTACCAGTCACAAAAATCTGAAAAATTTTTACTATCACGTGATATACGACAAAATTCTTTAAGTTCGTTTATGCTAGCGTTAGTCTATGTTAGAATTTAGAGGTTCTAGTAGTAAAATCGTTCAAGGAAAACTTTTTATTAATGTGGTGGTTTTCCTATGTAGATTTTGCGATTTTATACTAAACGAACGTATTTTCTGATCGCGTAACGGTACACTAAATCGAGGTTCATTATTGGTTTATTTTCGTAGATCGTCACGTGACAATAAAATTGCATAGTAATTTTTCTGGCGATCCTGAGGTAGTTATCATGTAAAATTTTACATATCCGTAATACTGGTAGTAATAAAACGTATAAAATTACAAACTTTGATTCATTATTAAAATATTTATTGATTTTAAAATAAAAATTACATGTAAATCTATGCTCTGGACAAGTTTACTTAAAGATTCAAAGTATATTACTTTAGTATAAATGTTAAAATTTATGGTTTTTTTTAGGTTACTATTAATAGAAATCAAGTAAATTGACATTTTATATTTTAATGATTCTTTTTAAATACTATTAAAGATGCATTTTTACTTTTTTTTTTTTTTTTTTTTTTTTTTTTTTTTATATAATATCAAGTAGAAAAATAAAAATACATGAATATATCAATTGGATATTAATATATAACTAATTGTTATTCCTAAACTACACTATTGTTGCTATATATTAACGACATCTAGTGTGATATTATCTTTTTATTTTCTGTTATTAGTTAAATTAACTCCTGTTAATTATTAACTACAGAAAGGAATAAAAGGGAAACCTTTAAGAATAGTTTAATTAATAAAAACAAGTATATAT